ATAGCACACGAGCGCAGATTTTCAAATATTGAGTAATTATATTGCAGGATGTGTATGGTATTAAAATAATAAATAAATTAGTCATTTGCTTCGAACTGAATCGCTGAAAATATTACGTTCTCTGTTGGGAAATAATCATGGTTAGCTAACCATTTCGCAAATATGCACTGCATAAAGCCAGTCGATTGAGTGAATTTTCCGGTCGACGTGATTTCTTGTGGGCTCGTATATATTATTTTCTGTTTTCACGATTTTTGCCTGCGAGGAGCCTATTGGCAAACATTCGGGTCAATACGTCTGTTTCAAGTATATACAATTTAGGGTAAATAAAAAGTGCTGTCATTCCTGTAACGTAATTTGTTAGAACGCTTTTACGACTCGGCGTCAGACGAATTCCCTTCGGTTTTCGTCTGATTTCGAACAATAAAATAATAATAATAAAAAAAATAATAATAATAAAAAAGAACATGTGTTACCGCCTCGTTATTCTGACCCTACTTTAACAGAACCGACAGACAGGCAGACAGGACATTTTCACAAAACATTATAGTGAACCTATATAGGTACTATATTATGATATACAGAGTGCAGACTGCAGGTGGTATAGATGCAGCAGCGTTGTTTGTTAAACATAAACATAAAAATAAGCATAATAATATAATATTGCATTGTGTTATCGAGTGAGAATTGGATTTTTGTTCTCGTGTATACTATAATATTATAAGAACTAAAAAGAACTAAAAAGCTTTAAATAAATAATATTATACTGGCCCAACGATAAATAATAATAATAATAATCATAAAAAAATTGTTTCAGGAATTGTTCGATATGCGAATATAATAATAATATCGTAGTATCACGATGTTTGTTTTGAGAAAAAATAAGTTTGGTATATTATATTAAATCATAATAAATTATTACTATTACTGTAATAATTCATAGTCCGACGACGATAGTAATATTTGTTGAGGATTATTTTTTCGCCGTCGTAACATTATTTTTCTCCGGTCCGGTTCCGAGAGTGTAAAAAAAAAATCCAAAAAAATAATAAAAAAAATACATCGTCCGTCCGCAGTTTATGCGTATTATAATATTACGATATACACGTCGTACAATAATATTCCGTCTCGATGGTCAAAAATCCATATAATATATCACACGCCAAGTGGCCGGCGTACGTTGTTTATTATTATTATATATTATAGTTCTCGCACATGTATAAATATCGTCTTCGCGGAGTCGAACTTTTCGACTGGAACCGCCGGGGCGGCGATACATCACCGGGATAAAGTTTACAGCATTCCGCAGCCTTAAATCGTGTGCCGCTGGTGTTTGGGCGCTAGCGGCGAAAAGTCGTTTATTATAATTTATTGGGGTCAGATCACGACGAGATACTGCGCTGCTGCAGCCTCCCGTCCGTAGACGTCGCGACGGCCATCCGCCGAAATACACAGACCGCCGCCGCCGCCGTAAAGCTTAACCTGACTGCCGTTAAATGAAAACAAGTTTTCGACTACTTTCGCCTGTCGTCACTTTTTAAACTGTGCTCTCTCAGTTTGTCGCCCCCCCCCCCCCCGAACGCCTGCAAAGTCGCGCTTTTGCACCCGGCAGTTTTGTTTTTTTTTGTTCCACATCACTCGATTCTCGCCATTGTTCTCGGTGCGAACAAACGATATCGCACCGCACCTACCTCTTTTGCAAACCAACCGTAACCGCGGTAACGCCGTAAACTCGTCCTCCGATAAATTAAAATTATAATGTGTAATATTGTACTCGTCGGAATTCATAATAATATATATTTTTTTTTTTTATATATTAATTAATCCTTGGCAACTTGGGCCATTGGGTGGTTTTTAACCGTGCTGGAGGTTACTGTAGGTTTGAACACGTTTACACAGTAGGTATCTGCCATGCACGGGTGTGGGATATCGGCACTTCTCTCCGGACACCGTGACTTGCCCGAAGAAAAATGCCTCCCGAGGCCGAGGTTTTGAACCGACGTCGGTGCATAATAATATTATGCAGACGTACTCGGGAGGATATTTTTTGTAACCCATTTAGAAACGATGCCGTGATATTATTATATTTGAGTATCACAGCATTGTTTCAAATGGCGATTTTTTTAACAAGTACCCGGTGTTCATGAGTGGGTTTTATTTTAATTTGCGATTTGTTATAACCATCCAATTTCGATCATTATAAAACATGAACAGTATTTCAGACTTCAGTATTGTTATTCACTATATAATAATATTATAATATATTGTTTCATGTTTATATGGTACCCATACTAATATAATATTGTAAACATTAATTATGCACTTCACTCAAACCTTCCTGGGCATTTACATTTTACATTGATAAATAAATAATAATTAGATTAAAACGGTACGTCCCAGACTCCGTGTGATACCGCTTCGTATAAATAGAACTCGTGAGTTTAAACCATATGAATTTATTTTTATTAAACTGAAATTTTACATTCAAACAATTTATTTGTGGGACAGATAAGTAACGTTGGAGTAACCGATCCTGGCGGTCCTGCAGTGTATACAATATCTGTATAATTTATACGAATCAAAAAGAGTGTATGGTTATGTCTTTTAAAAAACAATTACAGAGGGATCCGGTTGACTATGACAGCAAAAATAAGTGGCGTTTGTTCATATTTCCCAGTTGGTGAACCGAGGCCTAAGCAGGTGCGCTTAGCGAGGACTACAATTTAATATTCAAACTCCGGGAGTGGATTGTGATCGTCCTTCCCTCGTTATTTTTGGCCGGGGAATGTTCCGTGAATTGCAGTTGCTCCCTCTGGTTAGCTGGGCAGTTATAATTTATTAGTCTGGCTTGAAAAAAATCAACATTACAGCAATTAATTAAATAAGATAAAATTATGAAGATATTTAACATTCATATATTTAAATATAATAATAGTAATAATAATAATAATAATAATAATAATAGAACAATATTGCCTAAAATGTATAGCAACTAACTAAGATGACAGCTAGTATTTAATTATTGCACCACATCTACGTTGGTGTAAAGTGCACATACAATTCCTTTATCCATTTTATAACATAGGTAACCACTGCAGCTAAGTTGACTTAACTATCCAACTAATCACTCACATCACACTGTGCAATTGTGTATCAACTTTTTTACATACCTATGCACTATTAAGCCACAGTTTGGCACCATATGCAGCTGCACTATACGTTAGCACCAGCGCGAGTAGTGTTTTAGCGTCTGCGCCCAACCCTGTTTTAGCAAGTTGTTCGATTAGATTGACTCGAGATCGTATTTTCTTCCCAGTTCTATCAAGATGTTCATTGAATGTAAGTGTACAGACCATTGTTATTCCCAAATATTTCGGTGTGAAGTTGTGTTTCATTTGTGCTCCTTTAAACACGACTTTTAGCTCTTTTCTCCCCTCTGTGTTGCTTAGACGGAAGAACATACTTCAGACTTGACAGGATTTAGTTTTAAACGCCAATTGGAAAAATATTTATTCATCGTAATGAGGTCTTCGGTAAGAACTTTTTCACCCTCCTCTAGATCTTTGATAGGCAATTGCGATATCGTCTGTATATATACAAGTTAAATAGAGTTGGGGCAAGTACCTACTGAACCCTAGGGTAGGCCATTAGTTACTGTTGCTTTATTACCCAGAAATAATGGTAAGTGGTGGTTGGTAAGCATCTTTTCTATTAGTGTAAATCAGTTCTTGCATGGAATAGCTTTAACAAATTTATTAAAAAGACCATCTCTTCATACTATGTCATACACCACTGATAGATCGATGAAAGTTGCACTGTTTTTAAGTTTCTTTTGGAATCCAGTTTTTAGTGGTAAGTGCGCTTGTTCCTTGCATCTTCAATATTCCCTAAAACCGGCCTACGCAACTGGGATAACCTATTTGATATACGGTTGTATGGGTTCTAATATCATTTTTTCTAATATCTTATACGTAACTCTCAGCAGTGATATAGGACGATAATCTGAGGCTTTGTGTCCGTTCTTCCCAGGTTTTAGTGGCGCAATCACTTTCGCTATTTCAAATTGTTTTGGTAATTTTGAAGTATCTATAATATCGTTGTAAAACGTAGTTAGCCAGGCGTAGGTTCTTGGTCCTGCGAATTTAAAACTCAGATTATACCCCAACGAAACTTGCAGCTTTGTTTGGTTTGCTTTTCTTTATTACATTATGTGCCTGTGCCTCATATTGTGTAAAAGAATTGTCTAGTATTGGGTACGGTTTTAGCATTTTCCTGGGGTTTTTTAATTCTGTTTTTATTATTTGTTTATGTTCTTTGTCTATTGAAAGTTTTCCCATGCATATTAGTCTAGCTGCTACACAATTTTCAGTATTTGGGTTTAGGGTATACTGGCCTTTATTGGCGTGGATTGGGTCATCCAATTTTTTCATGAGACTCCATGTCTTATGTCTAGAAAGTTTAAAGTTTAAATTTTTTCGTTTTTAACGCCATCACTATTTTTTTTTTTTTATATAAGTTATTAATTAGCTCATATGCTACACTATTACCTTTTGTCCTTTGAGACTTCGAGAACAGCTCATTACACTATGTTTCATCCCAACCTGGGATACACTGTCTCCTGAAACCAATAGGTATGTGTTTTTTCGCTACTAGTTTAATTACTTCCTCGAATCGTTCCTAATTATCTGCCTTTGCTGGTATCTATTGTATTAGGTGACTTAGTTCCATTGAAAATTCAGTCCAGTTTGCTTTTCTGAAGTTAAATCTTGGTTTAGGATTTGTTCTAATTAGAGGTAAAGACAAGCTCTAGGACCACTGTTCGATGTTGGCTGTGGGGGAAGTCATCAAGAATGCGGTGTGATATCATCTGCCTGCTATCGTTTGGAGATTTAGATAGTATGCTCAGATATGGGGTGTACTCCTTAAGCCATCTTGGTGTCCTTGATACCATATACAAGCTCAGATTGACTGGTTAACCACTCAGATAATGGATCTCCGTTTTCATCACTTTTCTCATGGTCCCATGCCATGTTGTCTATTCAAATCTCTAACGTAGATAGCTAGGTGCTCATAGTTTTCTATTTTTCTTTTGGGTGTTTATATACGTTCGTTACTATCATATTACATACCTACCTTTGTAGCTAGTATTCTCTGTGAACCCCATTTGTTAACATAATATGTGGCTATGCCATATTGTTTGTGATGTATAGCTCCAATTAGTAAGTATCCTGAAATAAATCCTCTTTTTCGTAGATCGTTGTCATCCTTCGTGTGTGTTTCTTGTAAGGCAATTATATCTACTCTTTCCTTATTCATGATTTTGTTTATCACTTGATATTTCGCTTTAGAAATTCCTTTAATGTTGAAATGGCAGATCCTAAGATCTCAACCAATATTAAGTGTCAAATTTTTCATAAAAGGACCGTCTTCGGTTGGAATCGCTGGCGATTGCTGATGGTGTTGATTTGAAAAACTGGGCATCAGCGCCTGGATGTGGTATTAGTTATGCCACTTACGATTGTAGTATTGTTCTTCGTACACAGAGTCTTCAGAATTACTACAAGCAGGGAGGTCCTCGTACAGGCTACCACTATCCTCCTCAAGCTGGGCAGTACTCTTTATCGTCCTGCACTAAATCCTCGGTTAACTTTCACTTTTCGTGAGCTGTACAATAGTATTTAAATTGTATTGCTCGGAGGTGTTGATTGAAGAAGTTATTTTGTTGATGAATATCGTCAGTCAAGGTACTCACTACCACACCGACTTGTAAACACACTACATGTCGGTAATTTGCTGATAAGTTTGGATTGTCAGAGGTAACTTCATGGTGTGTCCCATTCTTGCATACTCGCTAGTTGTCACGGTATATGGTTTTCATATGTCCATGCTGTTAATAATCTATAAAGAGCATTTTATGGTAGTTGGGGTTGGTCTTTAACAGGATTTATAAGTGGTATTGGCCGATGGGCGATGACGTAATAGAGAGTAGGTATATAATTTATATATGTTGGTTTAATAATAAAATAATAATATAGTTCGTCCATTTAATGAGATTATACTACATTGTTAAACAATGTATAACTAATAAATATGTATATTATATTATATAACATGATATGGCCATGTATTATAATTTAATTATTTCATTACAAGCTGAGGCCCAAAAACAATAACAACTTTGATAATATTAACTACTAAGATCACACCATACATTTAAGCAAAAAATTGTAAACAACTATAATTATTTCAATCTTGTTTTTTTTTTACCTGCTTTCATCTCTGTGTTTTAGCTTAACTAAAAAAGATAATAAAAAACATATAATAAAATAAAATAATATAAACTATATTATAGAGGATAATTTCAATGAAGTTGAATGAAGGGAGGCAGAGTCTTCATTTGCTAACAACATCAGTAGAAAAAGATGCGAAGTTATTAAATAATTAGTTGACGAGAAAGCTGAAAGGAATTCAGAACACCTTCTTGGTGGTTGTGAATTGAGTATAACGTGGAGGAACTTTAAAATTTAATTGAGAAATGAGTGTTGGACATTCAATTGAATTGGATAACATTTTAAAAGAAGTTATATGTTAGAAGAACGTCTCCAATAGAATAATACTACAATAAATGATAATAATACATTTTCGGTTTGAACCAAAAATGTATTGATCATAACACAATTAACTGAGACAGATGTAATTAAACTAACTTTGTAGTAACTTTTATTCTAATACATTTTTAATTCAATTATTTTGTTGGTAGCTAATTGCATATTAAAAAAAACCGTTTATTTTAATAAGAATAAAATTTAACTTTTAGTTAATATTACATTTGTCAGTTATTTCTGTTACACTCTGATTATATATTTTTACAACATTATAATATTCATAAAAAACCATTAAATTAGCTTATTTTTTAAAAATAGAAATAATTTTTCTCGTTCATTGTATTTCTTGTGTAGAAAAATTTACCACTGGACTTATTTTACTTTTGTCAAAAAATTTTAGTTCTCGATAAAATAAACAATGAGAATAGTTCTATACGATTACCAATTTTACTTTTACTGAAACAATATTAGATTTTCTCAAAAAAAAAAACAAAAAAAACAATCTAATGTTATATGGATAACTGTGGTTGATATCAATAAACCATTTTTAAAATAATGATTCACATTTATATCATCAATCACCACTGTCGTATTAATAATTATGTATAGGTATCAAACAATATTTATTTAAACTCATAGCTTACCCAATTATTAAATTTGGTAGAAATACTACAATAATTTTGTTCAGTATTCGTTTCCAATTATGTCCTTGTTTTGTGTATTTTTTTTTATTATTTGTATTTATGTCATCATTCCTCGTTATTTTTCCAGAAATTATGAATACACCTAACACCTATACCAGGGATATGAACGTTAATATTCAAGAACAATAGTTATTTATTTCTATAATTTTTAACTTAATAAAGCATTTTTTAATACTGAAAAATAATATCGAAACACCTATACAAAGCGACATTAATAATATATTGTTTGACGGTATGAAAAAGTATTTTATACATTTTAATCGATATTTTAATTTTTATAAAATTAATATACCTCATTATTATCTTTATGGCAGGTGTCCAACCAATTAAGTGAATTTTTTTAAGATTCTGAACCTAGCCTTTGGTTATACAATTAATTATGGAGAGTTCTTTGTTTTTTTTTTTTGTTAGAACACTTTTGAGGCTGTAAAAGATGCAAAAAGTTTTACTCTGCACTTCGGTAGACTGGATATTGAACTCGAATTTTATACGAGTTTCTATTACCTAGAAGTTTTTAAGAGCATCTCGAAAACAACAACAAAAATGGTGAAAATGTTTATAACACACAATTTCTGAGGTTTTGATGAAATCACTGCCAATTTTCGGATAAACCACTACGGAAATCTGAAATACTGTCCGACTATACAAATGCGACGGGCCAGATGGCTTTCGAATAACACATTCACATACTTGTTGAGGTCCAATTTAAATGTTAATAGGTACGTTAATGTCGGATACGCTTTTGCTCACCATAATATACGCTCTAAGTAAATTATGTTTTAATAGGTTTGAATAATTTAATTATTACATTAGACACTAAATACATTATTAATACTGAAATATTATTATTTTCTACGATAGTATTTTATGCAAGGCTGGGCAAGTAAATGATTTTTTTTAACTCGGTTAAGTTAATATGCACCAATAACAAAAAATTAAAAGTTAAAAGTTAATTTAATTATAGGTTAACAACTCAGTGAAGTTAAAAGTTAATACACACATTTTATTAACTTTTTACTAAGTTAAAAAAAAAGTTAATTTGTTTATATAATGTTAGAGTACTTAATTTTTTTCCAACCCAAAACTTAATTATAGACTATAGTGTTTATACTTTATACAGTATTTCCATATAAGTTAAATTGGAATAATATA